CCCCCCCCCCCCCGAGAAATTTCCTAGCTACGCCCCTGCGCATGTTTCTCATCAAAAGGAATATCTTTTGGAGAAAAATACACTGAAATAAAAGTTACGGGCTATATAGACATACCTTACGTTCCGGGTGCTGGAGCCGTAACTTCGATTACTCCGGGTGCTACGCCCGGCTCTTTTGGCCTTTGAGCCCGAAACGCGGACGGTAACTATGTCTATGTAATCTGTAAGTACGGCTTCCACGGCCAGTTTTTTTTTCCTGTGTAATTGTACAAACTTGCTAAGAATGTTTTTTTCTTTTATTTACAGTAGCGGACTTGTCAACTTCCTAATCGAAGGATCAAAATTCAAGAGAGCGGCAGACGAGGGCAAAGCTGGAGCAGATTGTAATCTAATGTATCCAGGCTGCCCATTCTCGAGACAAAATATATTTGCTAGTTTAAAACATTTGATGGCTACTAATGCGGTCTGATAGAGTCCACGCCAAATAAGTTTGAACACTGTTCAAGATCGATAGAAAATCTGCCATCTTCAGTTTCGTCTCGGCACGCAAATGCAAAAATTGAGATGTTGATTTTTCTGTCAAACTTTAAAAGTGTTTTTACTTATTTGGCGTCGGTTGTAATCATCACCAGTACAAAGAGGCTGGAATAACTACATTCTAACACATTAGATCAAATGTTCATAAGAAATAACGCCTTATGAATATGCGGATGTTGTCAAATGTTCTCTAATAAAACACGAATTTTCTGTAAAACTAGGAACTTTTTTTCTTTAAAATTTTCAGAGAATTTGATCCAAATTTTCTCAACTCACCGGACAAATTGATGGAACCATTGTAATGACATTTTCAAAATTAAAAATTTTATTTAGGGAAATTTGACAACGTACGAAAGTTTCCAGACTTTTTGTGCCAATGCTCATTTAAAGGAGTTAGAATCAAACCAGACACTTTCATTTAATATTAAGAGGAAGGAGGGTGATATCAGGAATGACCTCAGGGACTCGGTACGTGTATCGATGGTGAAACTAGAAAAAAAAAATATTTCCCTCTATAATATTTCAGATTAAAAAATAAAATATTTTCCTCTATAATATTTCAGATTTTCTGTTATGTTGCCTACTTCTTTTGAAGGAAGACTCTCTATAAATTTTCCGAGAAATGTCACGTGATATTTTTTTTTCTCCTACATTATTTTCATAATACATTTTAAAAATCTTGTGCAACAATGTAATTAAAACACTAAATATTAATATGATATTTTTCTACTTTCGCCATCAATATGAAACTTACAGTGCGATCTCAGTATTTATTCTAAAAATATATAGAAGTACGATTTTTGTACGAGTCGGGGAAAGAAAAATGGCACACAGTATGCACCAGTAAAAATTAAAAAAATGGTATGGACATAGTTAATTAATATATTTACAAAAGGCTTTTAAAGTAGGTATATTTCATCGCATTAACGCAATCGCGCGAATATTAAAAATGTGTAAATAAATTATGTGTTGAGGTTAGTAGGTATTTTAATACTTTTCATGAATTTTGAAGTAGGTAACTCCAACGATATTTTTACAGTTTTGTCTAAGCAAACTTCGTAGTTTTAACGATTTCGTTCAGACTCGTTTTCAATAAATGACTATGTAAAGAGAAAACAAATAAATAATAATTCCATAAAGCGTGTTATTCATTTAATTAGTTGCTGGTTCTTTTGAGTCTCGCTCCTTGGTCTTTAAAACTCGGCCTCAGAAATAAGACCTTACAAATAAACAAACGTAACCAACACAGCATGGTAATAGAGCAGGGGAAAAGATGCTCACCGATGACGGCGCAGTGATACGACTATTCGTGCTTAATGGATGTCCGTGTTGCATATCTGCAAAATTGAAGGCGCGATGGCGCGAGGCATGAATTCGCAATGATCCGCTCTATGCTGCCAATAAGGTGTCGTTCAGATTTGGGAGGAAAGTTAAAAAATGAGGCCCGAATACGTCTTTGTGTCTATCTTCGGCAGTGTTCACACTCGATTTTTTTGTCCTTCACTGGAAAAAAAAACACATTGTATCTAGAGTCCAGACTCTTGAAAACATTGACAAGAAAAAATACTCTTGATTCAATCAGATGTTTGCTTAAATCAAAAGGAAATCCGCTCAAATTAAGAGGCTTGGTTCTTGATTGAAGCAAAAATCCGATTGAATCAAGAGTACTTTTTCTTGTCGATGTTTTTAAAAGTCTGAACTCTTGATCCAATGTGTTTTTTTTCCAGTGTTTTTTTCCTGTTTGATGACTGATTTTTTCAGTAGAATGTATTTGTAGACCTATGTGTAAAGCTCGTATACACTGGCACCATAACTTCTCCGGCAAAAACAGTGGGATCAATTTAACCCAGTGTGGAATTTTTTAGTGTCGTTGTTAAAACAAATTCCCTGATACTCGATTTTCTCCTTCTTCTCTTTTCAATCTTATGCCTGATTATTTTTTTAATGATTCATTTGCATACCTTGACCTAAAGCTCGCACGTACTGGCACGATACAACCTGCAGGCCACGTGTTTTTGACGGGCCTCGTGTCAATGTGGCCCGGCTTAGGTATGTAAGGGTTAACAAAGAAAGAAGAATAGAAGAAAAAAGAAAAATTTTCGAGCCATTTTTTGCTGGGATTAGTAACACAGGTAGAGTCATTTAAACAGTTCAATTAGATGTTCAATTTTTTTGTTCCTCAAAATTGTACACACTGAAAAAGCTGTAGCAAAGAGTCATTGTTAATCACAAAAACAAACGGTAGATTTCCCATTGACTAAACAAAAAGAGAAGTACAAAATAAAAGAAGAGTAAACTAGTGAAGGAGAACCACCTCCCCCCCCCTCTTAGTATTCCGAATTTTACGTACGACGATCCGCAAGTTACGCTCTCGTTCATCGCACGTTCGTAATGTATCGGCGTAACGTATCGTAACAAGCGGGAATCAACCGAACCTCCGCTCAAATTCATGCACGTTTAGAAAGCGCCTTCAAATATCCAAATATGCAACCTGCGCTAACCTCAACGCAATATCTATTGCTTCCCGTTTCTCAGCATGGGATTTTTGGGATCTTTTCGTCGTCTCCCGGACAAAGGGACGTAACTCCATTTCAAGGTTGTCAAATTGACTCAAACAATTACTTCATTTAACAAAAATGTATCCGTGCATATTTTATCCAAAAAGTTCTGATTTTTGCATGAAATCTTAGCAAAAATCGGTGAAATTTTAAAATAGAAATGCCGAAGATTCTTACGTTTAACATGCTTTTTGCGAGGGGAAATTTGGCAATATTGAAATGGAGTTACGTTCTTTCGTGAAGGAAACGACGTTTTATTCTCATATTTGACACTTTGGTGTGGTTCATCAAGTGCAGGAAACTGTTACAAATGCCACGAACGATGACATGTCTTGCCTCTTGGACAATACTCAACAACTTATGAGAGGTGAGACTAAAATGATCGAATTATTGCAACGGTTTGATAGAATCATTCCATAGAAAGACTTATAAGTAATTCAGAGAAGTCCGCATGTTTGTATTGTGCAAAAATGAGTGAAGAGTCATCCCTTATTCTTCCAATACACCAATTGACTAAGAATGTATGTGCTCTTCGTCGTGCAGTGTACAGCTCCTCGTCTTCAACACTCAAAAGCGTGCGCGGAGAATTTTTTAGTAAGTTAGCTAGATCGAGCAAATCCGGGGTACTTCGGACGTAGGAAATCTGATTTCCCCCTTCCCTCCCTTCCACCCAGATGAATGCAGCCCAGACGGTCTTTCTCGCTAATTTTCGCCGAATTTGCCTCGCTCAAAGCACCTACTTGAGTGAATTTGTATCCATAGTAGGAAACTTACAACGTCGCGATCTGAAATACAAATTTTTCTATCTCAATCTAATGCCGCAATCAGACGCTGAATTTAGCACCTGAATGTGGAAGTCAACAGTCATCGCCCAACGGCTGAAATTTAGCAAATTCGAGTTATTTTCATCCAGATGTGTATTAAATCTACTCGAATAGTTCAGACAAATTCAAAATTGGTCCGATGGTTGCTGAGAATCGTTGCTGAATTTTGCGCGTCACGCGCAAAATTCAGGCATCGGGCCGATGACTTCCACATTCAAGCTACATTCAGCTCCCACATTCAGCGTGTGATTGCGGTGTTAAATATTGTATGTGTCAGACATTATGAGTACCGGTACTTTTATTTTATTTTATTTTTTTAAATTAAAAATGATAGCCACAGAACAATGATTGAAAAAAGGTCGTACAAGAGATCAATTTTTAAAGCCTTTAAATAAGTTCACAAGTATAATTTCAAATGTTTGACCCCGACTGTATCCGATGTATCGACGAAAATGGTCACTTAAAAATCAGTATGTTCGAACTTATTCAAGGTTTCGAAAAACACTTTTTGGAAAAATTTATCACGCGGTGACAGATCTGGAGACTCAAATTTCGATTTTTCCAAAATAATTTTCCTGGTTGTTAGAATTTCGAATCTGAATACATCACGCCGCGGATTCACCCTAAAGCGACAATTTGTTAGTTTATTTCTGTGAAATTTTGTCTCAAAGTGAGTGAGAGAGATGGATGAAAGCGTCACAGACTCACGAACAGTGGCGTGCCGTGAATGATCGATTATCGATATTTCCTCATTTAAAGCTGTGGTAAAGAATCGATTATCAAGGTGTTCGCTGCGAACACCCTATTTATCGATTCTTTTTTATAGGTTCAAATGGTAGATCAATCGATATATCGCAAAGCACGCCACGCCACTGCTCACGAAGTAGTAAGAGCCTCGTCGATTTCGCGCTCTAACGAGGGTCAGATTCGCTCAACCACGACGATAATCGACTCTATCAATATTTTAGATATGAATCATGACGTCAGACGGAGCTCCCCTGTGTTCCGGTCGTGCAGTTGAAGCGATTTGTTCTGCATTTTTTCGTGTGAACGTTTATGGTCAATGAATGGTCATTTTGTAAAACCGATACACACCCAACAGGGTGGTAATTTCAATTTGATTGATTTTAAATTTGTTAAATTTTTATTTATTAATTTTTTTTTTAGGTGAGGAGGGTAGGGAGATATTCTCCCTGAATCCCCCCCCTCTCCGGGGGGGGGATTCAGGGGGTCTAGAACTTCTATTTTTTTAAAAAAAATTTTAAGTCATTCTTCGAATGAGTAAACGTTGGACACATCTCCCTCCTCATCCTATGAAAAACAATTTGGTTAGGCCTCTGTGCGCAGTTCTTGATACTGTATAAAAAATCGATTTGGGGGTTGCGAAAACATTGGATTTTCAATTACATAAGATTTGAAATTAAATTCTTAAAAACCGCTACAAACTAAATGCTGAGAAAAAAAATTAAATAAAAATGAACTGAAATAAATAAATAATTTTAAAACCTGAAAAAAATCATGCTATGGTCTTGGAAACAATTACCCTCCGTTAATTTTTCACGGATTGGAGTAATAAGAAAAATGGGCACAAAAAATTCGGTCTAAAAAGTGCTATTTGGCAGCTATGGCAGGCGTCCATGAAATTCAGGGCGGGGTATGGGTGAGGCGGCAACCCTGCATACCGGTCAGCTGATCGGTTTATTTCAATTCAATTCAAGTTCCAAGCAAGCTATCAAAGCTTATCCCTTATCTATTTATATTTTACAAGTGTGATATTTTCCAACATTTCAGCTTGAATCAAGTGTGTTTTTGCGGAAATTTCTGTTACAATGTCGAAACCGTTCGAATATCCTACGAATTCTCTATAGTGCGGGTTGTTTCACTTCTTGTTCGCATTTAGTGGATGGCCTATAAAATTTTCATTCTGGCATGTTCCCCTGTAATTGCTAAGAAGTTTCTGATGTGGTGAGTGGAAGTTTTTTAATTCAATGTGTTCTTCACACTTGGAAACTCTCTTATTCAACTATGTTTTTTGCAACAATGTGCTCATGATCTGGGAAAGCAAGAGAGAATGTCTTATATGCTGTTAATTTTAAAATAACTTCACCTTGAATCTTTCATCTCGCACAAGTTGCAAAATAATGCAAATTACCTCTTATGAATGCCTGAATTATTCCCGTCACTTATCGCCGATAAATTGCAGTCTTGTATTAATTCAGGTTCATTAATCCACTCACAATGTTTGCCTTCCAAGTTGTGGTTCATCCCTATTATTTTTGAACCATGTTTGGTATTGCCACAGCCATGGTGTTGATGAAGTGAGGTTAGGTTTGGCCATGCCAATATTCAGAACCCTAAGGCTAAGTCTACGTTACTTTATCTATCACGAGGAAGCTTCTTTGCAATTTTCATCTTGTTTGTGAACATAATCATTACTCTTCCCCTCAATTTTCACTCATCTAAATTTAAACCGTTAATTGATCCACTCCGCCAATTCATCATACTTTTACTCTTGTCTTACAGTGTGAGCTATTTCCTCTCTTATCAATTTTTCCAGCGATCTATTCCATCTTCTTGCCTTTGAATGAATATTCATTGAAACTCTTCACCTTGAGTAATACTCTTCTCAATTAGTTTTCGAAAGCAAAACTGTATTCATATTCAGAATGGCCATTCTACGAATCTCCTTCGCAATTTGTTCGACACGATCATTATTTGTCATCAGTTGAGTTCCGTTAAGCCCATGGAATAATATGA